TTTTCCATGTATTATTTTACTTATCAGAACTTCCAGTTCATTTAAATGCTGGTAACAGCCAGTAACCTTGTTTGGTTTTAATGGACATCCTTCCAATGTTTCAAAATTAAGGATAATTCTGCTATTGATGATTAGTTGATGTTCTTTATTAATACCTTCCTAGTTTGCTAGAAATTGTTTTTCTTTTTCTTTCTTTCTCTCTTTTTTTCTTTCTTTCTTCCTTTCTCTCTCTCTCTCTAATTTCAAGCCCGACATGGGGCTTGAACTCATGACTCTGAGATTTAAAAAAGTCAAATGCTCTACTGACTGAGCTAGCCGAGCGCCCCTACAAATTGTTTTCTTCTAACTCATGGGTAAATGCACAATGTATTAAATGCATTCCTAACATTTATTATAATTTCCTTTTGGTTTCCCTTTGCTAACCTGTTTTAAATTAAATTAGTAAGTGCTATAGATGAGTTTTCTCCCCAATGGTGACCTGTTTTTGCATTCCTAAGAGAAATCCTACTAGACCATTAATTCTTCCAATTTAACTGTTATTTTATTTATGAATTCAACAGCTATGTTCATAATAAAGACAGCTTTCCTATGCTGTCTTTGTCAAATTTTGTAACAAGGGTTATTGTGATTTGGCTAATAGGAATTAATAATGTCCTATCTTTTTCTATGTTCTGAAATAATTTTCAATAGAAACTGGCAGTTCCTTGATGGTTTATTAGATAGAACTTGACCATAAAATCATGTAGTGTTTTTTGGAGAAGTAGAGGGATCTTTTGGTATATTTACTACATTCTTCCGTGGTTATTTTTCTACTTCTTATGGAGCAATTTAAGTAATTTCCATTTCTAAGCTTTCAAATATATTGGTAAAAGTAGCATACAGTATTCAGTTATAACTTTGAAATATTTTTCCCATCTGTAATTATGAATTATTCCCAATGTTTATTTGTGCCCTCTTCCTAGTCCCCATCACATTTACCAATAGTTTATTTCCTAACCCTTTTCAAAATAGCTTTAACTTTTTAAGAGCAGTTTTAACTCACAGCAAAACTGAGGATTAAGTACAAAGCATTCCCATATACCCTTTACCCCCACACACGCACAACCTGGTCCACTAGCAACATCTCACGTTGGAGTGGCACATCTGATAGAATCAATGTACCTACATCAACACATCATTATCAAAGTCCATAGATTACATTAGGGTTCACTTTTGTGTTGCATCTACATCTTATGGGTTTGGAAAAATGTACAATGACATGTACCCACCTTAACAGTTTCATACAGAGTAGTTTCACTGCCCTAAAAATCCTTTTTGCTCCACATATCCATCCTTCCCTTCCCCATCTCCTGGCAAGCACTGATCTTACTGGTCTCCACAGTTTTGCCTTTTCCAAAACGTCATATGGTTGGAATCATACAGTATGTAGCCTTTACAGATTGGTTTCTTGCATTTAAGGTTTCTCCATGTCTTTTCATGACTTCATGGCTTATTTCTCTTTAGCATTAAATAATATTCAATTGTCTGGATGTATACCACAGTTTATTCATCCACCCACCAACTGAAGGGCATCTGATTGCTTCCAAGTTTTAGCAATTATGAATATTCAAGTGCAGGTTTTTGTGTGGAAGCAAGTTTTCAACTCATTTGGGTAGACACAAAAAGTGTGACTACTGGATCGTATGGTAAGAACATGCTTAGTTTTGTAAGAAACTGCCAAACAGGAAGCAGAGGGGCTATGCCATTTTGTATCCCCACCAGCAATGAGAGTTCTCGTTGCTCTACAACCTCACCAGTATTTAGTAGTGTCAGTGTTGTGGATTTTAGCCATTCTAATAGGTATGCAGTGGTATCTCATTTTAATTGGCAATGCCCTAATGATATATGATGTTGAGTATCTCTTCATATTAGCTTATTTAACATCTATATCCTCCTTACTGTGATGTCTATTCAGATTTTTGCCCATTTCAAACTTTTTTTTTTTAATTATTACTGAGTTTTAAGAGTTCTTTGTATATTTTGGTTAACAGTCTTTATCAGAGGTCTTTCACAAATATTTTCTTCAAGTCTGTGGTTTGCTTCTCATACTCTTGATATGTCCCTTTTAAAAAATCCATTTCAAAAAATATTTTTGTTTTATGTATTTTTGTTCCCTATTTCATTTATGTTGTTTTTATCTCTATCTATGCTGCTCTCTTTTTGTGGTTTTCTAAGTTCCTATTTCAAATGCTTAGTTTGTTTTCTACCTCTTTTTCTCTTATAAAGATACAAAGCCTATAAATTCCCCTGTATCTCTTCAGCCATATCCTCCTATATTTGTACTTTCACTGTGTAGTTATAATCATTTTTGGATAATAAGAATTATTTGAAAGTATGAAAATAAAACGCATATCAATTTTTACTGGAATTCATTATAGCCTAAATTTGACCAATTTGAAAATAATATACTCTGAAATGTACCAAATACCAATACATATTTTAAATCCTCTCTGTTTACTGATGAACGGTCTAGAAGAAAACACATTATTTTAAGACAAGTTATGTGCCAAGGGAGATATGGGAAACTGAGGAGCCTCAAAACAAGAATAAAGTTATTAAATAAGTTGGATACTGTTGAAATAAACAATTTAAGATGGCTAAATAGCAGAATGGGTACAAAAAGAAAAGCAAGTTAGTGAAATAAATAAAGATAAACCTGAGGAACTTCACACACCAGAGTAGAAAGACAAAGATGACAAGCACAGAAGAAACATTTTGAAAAAAGTTAAACTTCAAACGAAGATCCAGAAATTTCAACATGTGACTAACAGGAATTCCAGAAAGCATCAGGAGAATATAAAAAAGATAATACTAAAGAAATAATAGCCAGGAATTTCCCCAAACCAAAAAAATTAGTTCTCAGACTTAAAGGTCCCAACTGGACATGCTTTCAAAATCTACAAAATTTCAGAATATTAAAAGATTCTCTTAGAGCCCTTAAAAATTTAGCACATATGAAATGATTTAAATGACCAAAGATATATTCTGGAGAGAAAAAGGATAAATTTGGAGAAAATAGTAGGATGCAAGAAACTAATCAGCCAAAACAAACAAACAAACAAACAAACAAACACCAGTTAAATATATGAGAGCAAAATTGCCTGTAAAGGTGGCCACTAGAAAAACTGAAATAAAATGAGTAACTCTGAAACACGGCTGGGACTGATCAAACCAATAAAATAAACAAATAGAAAACATAATAAATATAAAGCACATCTTACATGGGAGTAATTATATCTAAAAGTGTGTCAGTGCTAATATCAAACGTAGAGTATAATGTGAAACTCATTAAATGAGAAAAAGATACTGGATATTCATTTTAAAACACTATTTAAAAATATTATAAATATCCAATAACATATCTTCAGAATATATAAAAAACTGAAATTACAAAAAGGAACTGAAGAGTTCACACACACAGAAGTTTCCAAGAAGCTGCCTACTTTTTAATTCATACTTACCACATGTAAGTACAGTATTTAATTGAAAAATGCTTTCAGCAGTATCAGTAGTGTTACAGGAGAAAATTCAGAATGTCTTTGGAGAAATAAGAAACTGTAAGCCTCATTCACTAGAAGATCAGATGTAAATAATGAAAACTCCTTTTCCAAATAGAAGTGTCATAAAATACGTCAGAAAACAAATGTTACCAAAGTTAAAAAATACCACTGACTTCAAAAAGGGTAGTCAGACCCAGCAGGGACAGTGCAGGCAATCACACTGAGGAGGCATTTTATTCTTCATGAACCCTGGGAAAGCCATATAGCATATGTTGAAGAACATAAGCAATTCTGGAGTCCAATAAACCTGAGGTGGGAGTGCTAACTCCTTGTGTTACAAAACTGAGATAAATATATTAAGCCCTAAACCTTAGTTTTTGTATCAGTTAAGTGGAGATAATAGTTTCTAGCCCCTTAATAAAGCTATAAGAAGGATTAAATGAAATAATGCCTGGCACAAAGGGCTCAATAACTGATAACTATTATTTGTTACCATTAAATTGTAGTTGGGGCACAAGATGTGAGAAAGTGAGTAATGTTCTTATTTATTATCTGTTTTGCAAAATTCTTTCAATTTTAAAATCAAATGGGAAATACTTTCCATTTATTTATCATAATATCTGGGTTCTCAATTCCCAACAACTAGTTGTAATTTTTTATTAAAATTAGGATTGTTAATTTTAAACCGAAGAATATGGCTGATAAATACAAGCTTTCACCCTACCACCTTAACAAGTGCTAATTTACAATCCAAGGAAGAAAAAAAGATTAAGAATGGCATTAATATTGTCCTTCTCTAGTCCCTGCAATTTCCTCCCTTCTAGAACCAGAAACATTTTCAGAGAGAAAATATAAAAAATACTCACTGGAATATAATCTTGCCTGAAACCAGAGAAAGAGTCCAAACAGCTATTTTGATGGTCAGGATACCCTGAGCAACTTCTTCATTTTTACTGAATAAAGGTCATTAATATGCTTAACATTGATATAAAGTTTTATGGACAAGAAATTTTTAATTAATGGAAGATATAAATTATGTTTGAAGGCTGTATCAAGGGCTTTTTTAAATGTGTTTTCTTTTCTTTTATTATTTTAAATAGGCTCCATACCCAACGTGAGGTTTGAACTCAGGAACCTGAGATCAAGAGCCACAAGCTCCACTGAATGAGCCAGCCAGGTGCCCCCTAAGAGGTTTTTTAAAACTCATTTTTAGTTCTCAGTACTCAAGAGGATGTAATTTAGAAGATACTGAAGGAGAGCCCCCTCACCTCCATAATAAAAGAAGGAACAATGAGCCTGAGTTCCCTAACACTAAGTTTACTGTAAAATTTACACAAGGAATGCAAGAAATTAAAGCACATACTGGTATATAAATCAATTCCTTATCTGCTTCTTATAAATTCAGTTCGACAAGCTTTCTGTGTTATTTGTAAGTACAAAGCTGACAGTATAGTTCCTTACCTTTCCATTAGCTTCTCTTTATCCCAATTGAAGTGGCTAAGGAGTATTCTTGTGATAGTTGCTGGATTCTAAAGAAGGGGGGAAAAAAAGTTATTTTAAGGTAATAGTACTTAAGTGAATTTTTAGGTTGAATTTAAATTTCATCCCACCCAAATTTCCTTTCCTAAGATTTTTCTTTATTCTACAAAGAAAATATAAAATTTAATTGTAAGATCAAAGCAATTTAAAAATAGTTTGCCATACTAATTTGTCAGGTTTCTATGGGATTCTAAAGCAGAATTCAAAATAAGCCAAAAAGAAATCGAAAATTTACTGTATTAAATCAAGCACTAATTAAAATTCACTGATTTCTGCAATTAAAATTTAGCAGACTGTCACACTGTTAATTGACAAAATTTCTATTCAATAAAATTTCTAACACCTTCAGTAGAAACCATTTATAAGTCAGAAAGTCCTTCAGAGATATTTAATGAAAAAGACAAAATATCTGTACTGTGTAATAATTTAGAGAATATAATCCGAGGATGCTGTTTCATTTCTGAAAAGAAAGGCTAACACCATGAAATAAACCCAAAATTTACTGTCCTACTGTTTAATGCTGTCATTTATTTTTATTAACATTTATTTCCATTTCTCATGAAATTAGGTTACTATTTGGGTACAGAATTTTAACTTAAAACTCTAGTAACAATGTCAGAGGTATAACTCAAACCTCAATCTGTTTGTTTGTAGGTCACAGTACAATTTTATTACATCAAGTAACATTTCAAAAAGAATCTCTGTATAAAATTATTTTGTGACACCATAGTTAGACCAGAGTTTTAGTTAGCCACTAATTTAATTAAAAGGTAATCTTGTATAAAAATAGTCATGAAAGAAATCTGTATCAATTATTCTCAACAATACCATTTGTCACAGAGAAATTCACATAACATTCAATACCCTCCAAAAAAGCCAAAGATGCAGACATGTTAACTCTCTCATTCACCCACTCTAGGCACATGTGGCTAATCCATTTAGGTACTCCTTGCTTCTTGGGTCCAGACTCCTCCAGAATCCTCCTTTAACACAGCATTTAACAGACTCCACCACTTTACAAGAGTTAATATGTGAGGGGGTGGGGGGGGACCTATTAACTGATCCTATGTTATGTTTGTTTGTACAGAATATACATTGTTGTGTCCAGCTCTCTCAGAAATGTGATCCAACAATTTATTAACTCCCCCCCCAAAAAAAAAACCCAACTCAACTCTTGTTTGGAAACAGGTTTCCACAATAGGATTTGCCTACAATTAAAACAGTTATTCATTTAGGTTTAGACACATGAAAAATAAAAGTGGTAATCCTATCAATTGGGAGAATGAAGTCTAGAAGTGCCGATGAGAACTGTGTGACTGTAATTTTGTGGCACCCAATATACTGTATTTTCTGCCACTAGACAGAATGCTTAGAGAAAAATGTTTCAGGAGGTGTTGAGTCTCGACTTGCAAACAGAAAAAAGGGAGAGGGGAACAAATGCCCTCTCTGACTTGATGCTGCAATAGTGTCTTTTCTGTGCTTGAGTTTCAATATCAGAAACTTCTATCCAGAGGTTCCCAAACCTGTTACTGATTCATCCAAAATTACTATGGAAAGTTCTGTTAAAATACAGATCCCCAGGTTCCACCACCATAGTTCTACTTAATAGGTTTAGGAAAGGACAGGACCAAATGTGCTCATGATCCAAAGGACTCAGAAAATTAGACCAGCAGTTCCCCAGGGAAGAAAACATGACAACTTTTCTACTTTTTTAGCTCATCCTTCAAAAATTCCTGTGTAGGTGTGTATGTGTTTGTTTAATAATGTGTGTATTATATTAAAGGTACATGCTCAAAAGTTTTTCCCAAAAGGACAGACTAAAAAAATTCATCTAAACCACAGTGGCATGATAATGCCAAAATACCTATATTCTGCGAGGGTCTATGCTATGGGACAGGAAATATTTCACAATACTAACTAATAATTTTTGGTTCACTATTTCAGTGTAGGTGGCTCAGATCATTTATGTGCACTACATATAAGGAAAGGTAATGGGGGAATAACATATAATGTGAATCTACTGTATGTGAGGCCCTGTAGAAGGTACTTTATATACCTCATTTAATTCTCAAAGCTCTAAGGTAAATATACTTATCTGCCATTTTAAATATGCAAAAACTATGATTAGAATCTTTGGAGATTATAAAAATTACCCAATATTATCCAGTTAAGTGGAATAGTTGTGACTTCTAGCCTAAAACAATCTGCATCTAATATTCTTTCAGTTATTCCATGTAATAGAACCCAAAAGGAACATTAAAGATATCATTTACTAGTCATATGTCTATGACTATCTGTGCTGACAGTGCAGAGCCCGGAGCCTGCTTCAGATTCTGTGTCTCACTCCCTCTCTGCCCTTCCTCCCTTGCTCACGCTCTGTCTCTGTCTCAAAAATAAACATTTAAAAGTTTTTTTTTTTTTAATGGGTATATTTAGTCATATAGTTATACATCAGTAATGTTAATTTATTTAAAAACAAAACAGTCTGACTTCTGGTCCTGGCCAAGATGGAATAATAAGCTAACTATAGCGTCTCTCTCTCTCCCCCCCGACTGATTACAACTAAAAATTGGACAAAATACTCTTAAAATTAAACAACAGCAAGCAGATTGGGGAGGGAAATGAAGAACAAATAAGGTGGTGGTGAATATCCTGTTTGTTTTTTAACCTTTACTTCCTGGCTTTGACCCATGGGTGGGCCAAATAGAGAAACTGTATAGCAGGCATGAGCATCTAACACTAAGAGGATTGCATCATTTTGGCTAGAGGGTTATGGGAAAAGGCTACTACTAAGGTAGGGAGAATAGTTTTTTTTTTTCCTTCTTTTGTTTCTCTAGGTCCTGCCCTGAGCCCTGCTGCAACCATGAGACTCCACTGCTCCAGAATGACAAGAGAAACCTACTGCTCTGAACAGAAGAATAAGGAAGAGGGCCCTGAAAGGGGGGAGGGGGAGTGGAAATCCCTATTCTTTTCTTTTTTCTCTTGCCACTTCATCTCAAGGCACAGGTAAGAAACTAAAAGCTAGAGAACTCCAAGCTTCAGGCTAGAGGAATGAAGGGCCTCTGGGAGTCAACAGTGTAGGGGAAATCACTGAGAAGAGAAAGATGGAGAAGTGATCCTTAAATCTGCAAATGAACCAAGTCCTGGGCTCAATTACAAGCTATGTATATGTGGAACATGGCAATTACAGGAGAGGCTTTTAGAATAGAGCTATGGTGCATTATGGTATATATAACTGCCCAAGTCCTAGATCAACCTAAGTGGGAAAGGGAGGGGCAAACTCAACACAGCAAGGGCTTTGAAAACTGAACAGATAATGGAAAAACTGCCCATATAAACTGAGAAAGAATATGCAGTCATAACCCAATTGGACTTACCTCTTTACTAGAACAAATAAAAAATCCTCACCTCCCTAAAGGATTTTAACAGGATTCAGAATCTCACAACAAAATATTCAAAATACCCAGGATAGAATCCAAAAGTTAACAGACAGAGCAAGAACAACAAAAATGTGACCAAAGCCTTTAAATTTTTTTCTTATGTTTATGTATTTATTTAGAAAAAGAGAGCAAAAGCAGGGGAGGGGCACAGAGAGAAGGGGAGAGAGAGAATCCCAAGCAGGTTCCATGTTCCATACCAAGCCCGACGTGGGGCTCGATCCCATGACCTTGAGATGATGGTCGGAGCCGAAATTAAGAGTTGGGTGGTCAACCGAGTGAGCCACCCAGGCACCCCAGAAATACCAAAGACTTTTAAAGCAGCTATTAAAAACATGATCCATTAGGTAAGAATGGACACCTTAAAATGATGAACCAAATTCTTAGGAAAGAAATGTAAGTTATAAAAAAAGAACCAAATGGAAAGTTTAGAACTAAAAAACAAAAGTTTACTGGATAGGCTCAAAAGCAGAAAGGAGATGACAGAGAAATCACTGAAACTGATGTATCAGTAAGAGTTATCGAAATTTAACAACAGAAAAACTAATTAAAAAAAAAAAAAAAAAAAAAGAATAGTCTCCAGGTACCTGGGCGGCTCAGTTGGCTGAGCGTCCAACTCTTAATTTCAGCTCAGGTTCTGGTCCCAAGGTCATGGGATTGAACCTTGTGTGGCGCTTCAGGCTGAGCGTGAAGCATTTTTTTAAAAGAACAGTCTCTCAGGGTCCTGTGGGGTAATATCAAAAGTTGTCAGCCTAGAATTCTATATTCAGGGAAAGTCAAGTTCAGGATTGAAGACAAAGATATTCTCAGACAAAAGAAAACTGAGAACTCACTGTCAGGAGACCTGTTCTAAATGAAATGCTAAAGTTCCTCAGGTGCAAGGGAAATGTTACACTGTGTTAACTGGAATTTAAATAAAAACCTGAAAATAAAGTGTTATTATTAAGAAGAGAGGAGGGGAGGGAAGGAAAGAATACCACCTGATCTCAAAACATACTATAAAGCTCCAGTACTGGCAAAAGGATAGACACAACAATCAAAGGAACAGAAGCCAGAAACAGATCCATACAAATATGGCAAAATGAGCTTTTGCAAAGGTGCTAAAACAATTCAAAGGGTCGGGGGTTGGGGGGGAACCTTTTCAAAATAACCAATCCTACAATGATTAAGACATCCTATAGGGACATCTGGGTGGCTCAGTCAGTTAAGCTTCCAACTTCAGCTCAGGTCATGATCTCACAGTTCATTCAGGCTCTATGCTGACAGCTCAAAGCCTGGAGCCTGCTTCGGTTTCTGCGTCTCCCTCTCTTTCTCTGCCCCTCCCTCACTCACACTCTGTCTCTCTCAAAAATAAATAAACATTGGGGCGCCTGGGTGGCGCAGTCGATTAAGCGTCCGACTTCAGCCAGGTCACAATCTCGTGGTCCGTGAATTCGAGCCCCGCGTCGGGCTCTGGGCTGATGGCTCAGAGCCTGGAGCCTGTTTCCGATTCTGTGTCTCCCTCTCTCTCTGCCCCTCCCCTGTTCATGCTCTGTCTCTCTCTGTCCCAAAAA